ATTTTAATTAAATTTCCTCTATATAGGGCCTTTCCTCTATGTAAAACGAAAACTGTATTCTATGTACGGTGTAATCGTTTTAGTAAAATAATTTAATAAATTCTTTGATCAAATCCTTCAAGATATATAAATTATTTTTATTTTTGATGTGGTTGTTTTGGTTTCAAAATTATTAAATATGAAAGAAAAAGAATTATATTATTTTTTACATTCGCGAATGAAATTGATATGTACTATCACTCGACGTACTTATTGTGAATGTTTTTCGAACAAAATCTGTACATATAAACCGCATTCGGAAAGACGCTATTAGTGCTATTTGTTTATCCTTATTTTACATCTAATGAATGATAAAGATAAAATAACATAATAGCGTCTTTCCGAACGTACTCATAGCAGAGTGATAAGAATTATAGGCGCCGACTATGGAAGGGGTAGGGGGGGGGGATGCAGACACTTTTTACTCCTTCAATAAAATTGAATTGGGGGCGGGGGACGGCAATACCCCCTCAATAATTTTTACCTCTTGGTTTTAACAAAAGTTTTTTAACAATTACAAATAATTTCTGCGATCAAAACTGCGAGAAAGCATCGGCCACGTGACATACGCTATGCATAACGTTGACGTGGTAAATTAAAATTAGCCACGCTGGCACGTCGTCTGCTGTCCTAGAGTATCTTCCAACAAGAGACAAACATAAATGACATATATAGTATTATTACATTCTTGTTCGCCAATATTAAGGGGGAACACCACAGTGAACATCCGAAAACCTAGGGTAACTTTGGGAATTTTTTATAGTTAAATAATAAAATAAATAGAAATTCGGTTTGAAGGCTTTTAATGTACATATTTAAAGGTGCTAGAAACAATTTTTTTTTAATTTCTTCGCGACAAGATGGCGGTGCTGGAACTCTGCACGTGAGACTCCTTTTTTTTCATCGGTCTCCACGGCTTGCAGCAGAAGTGCTGCACACTTTCACTAAGGACAAAAAGCAAAATTGTTTTATAATCTATATTAAATTTGCTAGAGAAGTACGTACGTATATGTTAAAATATTGATTTTTATAGAAGTGATGAACATTTCAAAATAAAGTTTTATTTTCACTCAAAAAATTCAATAAGAAGTACTTGTAACCAAAAAAGTTTTTAACCGATCGAAAAAATCATGTGTACTTCTCTAGAGAATTTAGTTTGGCAGCTACTGTAAAAATTTTGAGTAGATAAAATTTATTAAAGTTATACTGCAAGCCAATTAGAAAAATGTGGTTTCAAGAAAAACGCGTTTAAAGTTTCAAGTAACATTATTTCAAATTTAACTACAGAAATTTTTAATTTACTTTTACTCTGTGATGCCTGGACCATATAACTGTCCTTCCACATTAATATTTTCTTCCTCTTCTGCTTTCCTGGAGAATGTGCAGGCTTTACGAGCGTCCTTAGCGGCAACCGTGAGCGAGCGCTCGGCAACCTTGACGCGGTGCGCATCAGCCTCGACGCCGAAATTATGACAGTTATGACCCACAGTTATTTGTAACATCAGCATAATTTCCATTAATCTTGATAGTCCATCATTAAAAATACAAGTTGCAATATTTGCGGCAATATCGACTATTTTTTTACCGCCTGAAACCGTTTTTGGAGCAATCGACTACACAGTCAAATTGAAGCTTTCACTATTGTTCTGCGTAAAGCCTTCTAAGCAACGATTGAATAAGTCGTCCCTGCTCAAATCTTCATACACTGGCTTCAAGATATTGAAAATTTCTTGTGAAAGAGGCATTTTATGCTGATATTCATGTAAACTGTCCGAGGCTTTCGCTTTTTTCCACGAGCACCACGAATCCGCACCGCTCGGGCACTTATCGTGCTGCGGCACTTCATCCGTCGAAATTTTGTGATAAAGAGTTGCCCAAATGTTATTTCACATTTTTTCGATGAAATTTGAATTTCGACGAATGACCAATTCGTAATATACAGCGAGTTCGTCGATTAATTTGCCCATTAGTTTGCCTTTTCCACCAAGACCTTTCGTATTTTTTTCAAATTTCGGAGGCGGGTGTCCATACGTTTCTGCACATGGTCGATGCACTCTTTTTTACAAATTGTAACGTCTTTATAAGGTTCAGCATCTATAATTCCATTGAAAGTTTTACTATCACCATCACCAATATAATAAACATATTTAACATTATGGAGATTTTCGGAACGTGAAAACATTTCGACAACGGCATCTACTTCTATCTTTCCAGCTGACCCCTCATGATTCGCTTGACATTGCTCCAAATGCGATGTAGCCCATTTTTCGTATTCTGCAGCATCCTTTTTCTTTGTCCAAAATTCACAAACCTTACAATATTTCGATTTAACAAGAATCGACCACTTTGCCAGTAGACTACCCGATGAGCGTAACTAATCCATAGAGTGACGAAAATCCCCGCTTTCTCCACGACCCATCGCCAGATACAGTAATTCCATTCATTTGTCTTTTTTCTATAGACATTTTAGCAATTTGGTAGTAGCGTACCTACTTCTATAGGGCGGCAGCGGCCGTCGCCTTCGGCCTCTCCGCCGTTGTCGATGATACTTAATCCTATGAGGTTTTTTTCGGCCGAGGTGTTCGGAATAATAAGAGTGTGTCTCCGGTTATGTGTACAATGTATTTATAGTAATATGTACAAGGTATATGGGTGGCCCTGAGAAGGGCCGATTGTGATATTTTGTGTGGCCCTGAAAAGGGCCGTTTGATTCAGCGCGGGTTATGTCGG